ATCTGGACCAGTACTGTTGATTTTTGATTAGTCTCAGAAACCCGGGAAAGCATCCAAGGGTCAGAGAAATTCTGATATTGTGCCAGTTCTTTAGAAACACGGTGATCTCAGTAGGCTGACTGGACTGCTGCTGATCATAGTACAGTAATGAAATCACCAATATGCGGCTTTGATAGATTACAGATTAAAGGTGGATAATAAAATTAACCATAATCAACACAGGTTTAAGGAAAAATAGACATCAAACTAATGTGCTATAATTTCTTATGAGATTAAAAGTCTGGTTCACACAAGTAATTATGTTGATATGGCTGGAATGATATGAAATCATCATGACATACATTAGCCAGAGAAAAACTGGCTAAGTAATAAACCTCATATGCAACAGTAAATGGGGACTCATCCATGAGCAGATGTACTTCTGTAATGCACAATTCTTGCCGCTCTGTTCTTTAGTTATTTACCACAACCTGGCAGAAAATTAAAAAAAAAAAATCACTGATGGATTTTGCAGTTGAAGCATATTTTTGGAAGAACAGAAAAAGAAATTAAAAGGACAAGTCAGCGATACAGAACAGTATGAACTGCTTTGGAAATGCAAATAATACGTATTCCAGTATGAACAAATGTAACAGCATACATCTGGGAACAAAGTTTGCTGTTCCTACTAATAGGAAGGGATTTTCTCTCTTCAGAAGGGGAGACTGAGAGGGAAAAAACCCCAACCAACCAAAGCTGGAGCAAATGGAGAAAGCAGCTGAATGAATTGATAGGGAGATGCAGTGATTGATTAGATGGGCTACTGCAATCCTTGGCTGTAGGAACAGGGAAATTTCAGTCTGGAATAGAGAGACTCTTTTACCACTGAAGGCACTGAAGTGGCTATGCATAGTACTGTGTCTTGTTCTGATGTCCACCACTTTTAAAAGCTGTTAAAAAACACTGCAAGTGCATCCTAAAATGCCAAAATATACAAAGTCATGCCATTCCTCTCATCAAAGACAAGGTTAGGATGGGATTTGACCACAGCTTATAAGATACACGTGGCAAGCTCCAGTGTGATAATGGACAGAGGCAAAGACGGGGCATTCTCTGAAAAATACACCAGCCCCTCCTCAGCCATTGGACTCCAAGCAGTAAGTAATTAAGGAAAGGTTTTGGACATATTCTGGGCACACACTTGTCATCACAATCATCCCCTGGCCACATAGTAAAACCCTCTCCCCTTTAACCTACCTACCTATTTACACAAGTAAATTGCATACCAGAACATGTCATGGGGATGCCACAGAAGAGGGCAGAGACAGACATAATTCCCACCACAGATCGCTAATTACAGCACTTGGCTCAAGAGAGGCAGAACAAACACACCTTCAGTGGAATTAACGCCACCAAGGCCAGGCAGGTTGCATGAACTCACTCCTTGCACAGGAACCCTCAGGACAGAGTCATGCGAAGGGACATCTTCCTTCCCAGAGGGACAGTGGCATCATCTCTAACCGCACGTGAACACAACTGCTTCACAGAGTAGAGCGAGCAGGAGAAATTGCTCACGCTTTTTTTGCTAGAGGACTGCCTGACTTGAAAAGCTGATAAGCGCGAGCCCAGAAATAAGTGGCTTTTGTCCTAAATTCATGCGTGTAGAGACGCTGCCCTGCATTTCCAACATGATTAGCGTTCTCATTATTTGTACTTTCAAAACTTAGTGGGCTCTCAACTTTAGGAAGTTGCCCTTTGGACTTGCCTCAGATCAAGCTGTCCAAATGCACCCATCACTGTGGGAAACAAATGGCGACTGACAAGACCTAATCACAAACACAGGGGAAGAGGGACTCCCACCAGGACAGCTGGTGACAAGCACAGTCTGCCTGAAACGTCGGGGAACCTGCAACCTCCTGTTGTCAGTGAGCAGTTGGGAACTGGAGCATCGGCAAGCTGAATTTGCAGCCCTGGTTGCTTGTGCGCACAAGGGCATCAGCATTCTTCAGCCCAAATTACCTCGCTTGGTTTTAGGAGCTCCGAGGGGAACAATGAAGGAGAGCGTTGACTTAGGACTGTTGTTTGGGGTTTTTTTTCTAATCCTTTCTGAAAAAAACGTGTTGAAGGTGGTTGGGGGAGGGATTGTGCGAGAGGGGAGAAACTTCTGGTGATGTCAGCTACTATTGCCATGGAAACTGAACATTTTTAGTGACAATGGAGTCTTCCTCCTTGAGCTGCTGGGTTGTGTGGGGAGCAGGGGCAAGCAGGGCAGGGGCACACAAGGGAATTCAGCTAACTAAAACTATAGCTTCTGGCTTTCCAAGGAAGTGAGGAGAAAACTACAAATGAATGCCTGAATACATGGTTTATGTAACCAAAACACCGTTCGGGGCAATAGCAGCAAATAATTGTTATGTCTTTGATAAAACATGCTGTCATGCAGCTAGCCAGATGGAGGTATCTCAGCTGCCCAGGAACGCCTGACAGAACAGTCCCTTGCCTGCACTTTGCTTTTCCATGCTACAGTTTGCTCTTCCAACCTTTGCTGCCTTGTTGCTGTTTATTTGGAAAGGGAAAAGGGAAGAGAAGGGGCTGGGAAGCACAGTCCTTATTCTTGAAATTGAGAGAAGCTGCACATCTTCTAGGCAGTGCATTACTTCCTAACATCATGGACGTTTTCTTGAGAGCCAAATTTATGACCTCCCTTGCAGGCAATGAGAGTCCAAGACCACGAAAAGGAGAAGGCCCTTAGAGAAAACTGATTAGCCTCTGATCAGGATCTAAATCACCAGCATGGAGAAAAACATGCAAGACCTAATGCAGGATGTCTTCTCTTAGTCAGAAGGCTAAGGCAGCATCTGGACCCAGAGTAAGCTGAAGCCATGATCCAGGTGTGGGACCAATCAGGATAACGTTTGTGGCTTAAATCTGAGGTTATATAAAAGTCTACAGTCTGTATGTAAGGGCAAGTTTGAGCCTTGGATTTGATTTAAACAGTGCAGACAATTTTAATGAATTTCAACGAATAATGAATTAATAACCACAAGCTTTTATAACTCGAAATACATTATATAGTCATTAGATCTCTATAACTAAATGGAAAAATCTTTCTTTAGCAGAAGTCTTTTGAGATCACATATTCTAATGAGATTACTATCATTTCAGCCTGACACCTCATGAGGACAATTGTATAGAAATCAGGAAACAAACTTCTTTCCGTTTTGGACTTGGACCTGAAATGAAAAATCCTCCACACTGATTATTTCATATCTGAGGAGTTGATTCTAAGTCTTCTTGGCATTGAAAGGAGTTCAGATATGATCTTTTTCCCTACTACTGTTACCAGATGCACAAAAGACTCTCTCTATCCTCAAATTTCTGCCAGCAATGGCAACAGAGGGAAACATGTAAATGGGGTTTACTCCCTTCTCATCTAGGTAGCATGGATTTCACTTGTTTCCTGCATGGAGTAAGCACTTGTGCTCACCCTCTTTCATTTAGCATTGCCCCACTGATTTCTTCATCTCTCCAGATAGCACCACTCACATACCATGCTTGCAGGGACACCAGGCAGAGCGAGACCCCCAGTTCCCAAGCCTTTTACCCCATACGCCAGCGATCCTGTGCCCACCTGGAGCAGAGCTTTCCTCCCAGCATACCGCAGCACATCACCCACATGGAGGAGCACTGTGGGCTCCAAGGTCCCCCTTTCAAACACACCAGTTCTTCCCTTTCCATCTCAAAGGCTGCTGTGCTAGGGTCTCGCTTTCCCTGCATCCAGTCACCAGCAATTTTGCCACCAGGAGCTCAGGCTAGAACATACAATGATCTGTCTTTCCTCACCACCATGTGTCAGGTGCTTTAACTTAGCCTTTTCTGATGAACTTGCAGTCCCCACGTCAGGCTATTTTAAATCAGATGCTAACCACAGCAGGCTCAGCCACAAGAAAGGTCTTCCCATCTCACACATGTTGCTCTAATTCAGAAAAAGCTACAGCTTTCATCTGCCTGTCCTCCTTTCATGCACAAGTTGGCCGAGAATCAGCCTTCAAACTTTTACAACTCAACTGAGTTTGAAAATCCCTGCTCCCCCCAGAAGCAAACAATTATACGCCCCTCCAGAGGGAATGACTTTCAAGTCTTGCTGTAGTAGAACTGTGTCAAAAGCAAATATAAAGACAGTGCTGCTCCACACCGCAGGGGAAAACTCTGCAAAGTGAGCTCGAACTCACTGCTGGCTCAGTCAGTAGTATATGCACTTCCAGGCGACAGCAAATGTCGGGTAATTTCTTGTTGGGAGGAAGAGGAAAGTGGGGGTTTCTCTTTGAAAAGATGTTCACTTGTTTGCTGTGAGAACAGCAATATTATATATTTATTTCTGACCTTCTTTTTTTTTTTTTACTATACCAAGGCAATCTAATTGAAAATGGACAAATTCCAAAAAAGCACATGCCCACTAGTATCAGAGATGAACATTTTGCTGTGATTCAATAGGCAAATCCTGGTAGGCTTTCCACTTCATACATGCAGAGAGGAAATCAGAGCTTCACCATAGCAACTTTGTTGTAAAAAACACTCAAATGTCAACTCATCCCAATAGTACCATGGGTAAGGCCAGTGCAATACAAAGACAAAAAGCCCAGAGTAACAAAAATGACATTCCTACCTTTGAAACACTGCTACTGGAAACAGAGAAGCTAGCTTGGTTCTGGTAAAGGTTACACCTCTTCCACTCAGACATTTTAAAAACAAAAAGTTTCTGGGCTAGCTCTTCAGCTAGTACAAATTAACACCCTCTACTGAAGTTGTGAGAGATAGATGGCTGCACATCAGCTGGGAAGCTAAGCTACCTTGTCTACTGTTTCTTCCATAGGCTGCTAACCCCAGCATATCTGATTCCAGTTCGGCAGATGTACTGGAGTAGCACCAGAGTGGAAACTTTCCCCACAGTTACACCATTTCTGTTCCAAGCAAGACTCTAGCAAACACGGAACAAATAAACCCAGAAACTGTCGACCTACCCAGCCATAACAATGAAGAAATCCAGGCGGTTCCAGGTATCTCCAAGGTAACACTTCTTGCCAAAGATCCCCAGGGCCACCATCTTTAAGACCATTTCCATGGCAAAGAAGATGAAGATGAAATCATCAAATACCTGCCAAACAGAAACCCAAGAGCACGCTTGATAAGCATCCTCAGCCTTGGACTTTAAAATGCAGAATGTGAGATAAATAAAAATCTCAGTACTTCTGAAAATGAGTTAGAGGCAGGGCTGGAAAAGGTTCTTCCATGCAGCCCTGACATTACAGCTCTTCCTGCTGCTCAAGTAAGCAAGGGGCTTTTATAGGGTTTTTTTCTCCAGGGGTGAAGTAATTGATGCAGACTCAGAGACTCCTTACATGGACTTGAAAGGAGGTGTTGGCTCAGCACCAGCAGGTCCAAACCTGGCCAGGGAAACACCATCTTTCCAAGGTCTCCCAGGAGGGATTCCTCATGACTCCGCTGCAAATGGCTCAGCTGAGGACATAGTGCAACTTCACGCACAGCTTGCACAGCACGTACAAAACACAGGTGGAGGCTTCAGATATCTGAATGTCGCAGCCTCAGCAACCTTTGCTGGCACCTTCTCTTTGGGGAAGCAGCAAGCACAAGTAGTGCATTCATAGGCTGGATGTACCCATGACCCTTCTTGGCATACCTTTTGTTTTTCTCCCTTTGGGCATCCTGAATGCCACATTACCTGTGGACTCAGTAGTACCCTTGCTCCTCAACAGAGTAGCAAACACGTTCGGGGCTGCTATTCTCTCCTGCCTAGATGCTGTAACCTTAGTTATTTCCCCCTGGCTTACCTCTGAGCTATGTGTCTTGTAGCTGTCTATATCAGGAAACCCCTGCTTGTGCACAGGATCAGGAAGGTTAGCAACTGTTCCGTATTGCATGGTCACAGTAGACTTCATTCATTATCTCTCTTGCCCCATTCCGCTCCTCAAAGCAAGCTCTTGCCATTTTACAACAGAATAGCTTACTGCCAGGGACATTCTTGCCAAGCTGTCTGGGAAGGTGTTGCCCACATGCTGAAGGAAAGCATGCGTGAAAATTTGTGACTTGGACTGAGGCACCATCACAACAAGAAGGAAGTCTGCTTACCTGCAAGATTTTACACCTGTCAGAAAGGCAGTCCATATCCTCACACGGCTGGTACATCCCCAGGGTAACGCAGTTTAACAAAATCACCATCATGCTGACACACTCAAACCAGGTGGAAAAGAGTCAAGGAAAACTTCTGTAAAAGCATCATGGCTGAGATAAGCTTGCTCTAGGCTTGGGGTGACAAAATAGGAAGATTAAGGGAAATAACAACTGCTGGCAGGCTGATTTATTGCATTCTTAGGTTTTTCCTCCTCAGTTCCTCACTACTCCACTCTTTTCAAAAGGGGAAGGTAAAGGTAGCACAAAGGCCGAAGGTATTTATGCAAGTCAAACCATTGCCATAGTTAAATACATGCTCACTCCTCTCCTGTTGGTTTGCTGAGTGCCTTCCCTCATTGGTTTACTGAATCTTCCAAATACATGGAAGAGACTTTCCGTGGTGGCCTATTCTCAAATGTACCAGAGATTCTCTGTGATCTAGGGATCTAAATCAAAATGGACAGCTGGATCTCTATGTGAGCCTAGTGATTACTGCCCTTCTGGGAAGGGGGTACATCACAAGGCTAGAAGTCTCCCTCTTCCCTTCTGAGAGGAACTTGGAGGTAAAGAGTTGCCATATTGGAACAGGTCAATGGTCCATCTAATCTGTTATTCTGCTTCCAGCAGTGACCCATGCTGGATAAAACTCCACTATGTGCCTAATTAAGTTATTCAGTAACCATGGGGGGAAATTGCGTTTCTGACCCCAGCTGGTGATCTGTTTATGCCCTAAAGCATGAGGATTGATAGCCCTTATAATTGTTTTCTCAGCTATATTGGTGTCCCTGCAGATGCTTTGCTTATTCATTTGAATCCTTTGTTGATAATCCTACTGAAATATCTGCTTCGATAAAAGTCAGCAGCCGTAAGCTACATTGGCTGATTATACTTTACATTAAAAATTTTTTCCTCCTATTTATTTTTAATTTGTTGCCTTTTAATTTCATCAAGTGAACTTCACTTCATTTATATATTACAGAAGAGGATGAAAATGGTGTATTTTTGTGACCTTCTCTGTGCTTTCAACACCCTCTACCTGCCTCCTCTTCACCATCCCTCTCCTCCTGAAGGAGTCTTAAGACCTGATACACGCTTATCCAAGAACTCATTTACAGTATTTTAGCTCTAAAAGTGGGCACGTTTCTGTGATATCTTTCCAGCGGTCGCACTGCAAAGCAGTGATGTAGATCTAATGAGAATGGACCTCCAACCTCTGGCAGAACCATCCTTCTTGGGTATTTTAACACACCTCACATAAACATATCTGCTAGTTTCCATTTTTTTTTAATTTAAAATAACAGAGCCAAGGAATTATCCATTTGAAATACAACCCACTGAGTGCATCCATTTTCAGTCCTTGCACAACTGAATCCAAAACGGCAGCCTGTATCTCTAGTCACTTCTGAAAGACACTCAACATCTGGTTCATTCTGAGCAACTCTTCCGTGCTCATTCTCTGACAGTGATTCATGACTAACCCGCACAATCTGATCTAGAAGATTATTAATTCTTTCTCTTCTCCCCCACCTGGTTTTCGATGAGCTACCTTCAATTGCAAAATCAGACAAGAGCAGGGCACCAGCTCTACTGTGTCAATCATGCTATGAGGTGATTTCAAGAACGTGTTATCGCTATCCCTCACTAAGTTAATCCCAAGTGCTGTACAAAGTAATGCACATGGAGCTCACCCTCGATGTAAGCTTCAAAACCTTTTCTCAGAGAAATACACCAAGTAAAATGTTTACCCTCAGAGGTCTACACAACACAAATTCAGCTTTCCACCTTTCTCTCTCTTACATGTTTCTTTAATGATCTGATCCAAAGTCCAGGAAAGCAATTGGGAGGTTTCCATTAGCTCCCACAGGCTTTTCAGGTAAGACTGCAATTCTCTTCTGGAGTTTTCAAAATCTGTTCAGCATCATCTTTCACAGAATTATAGAACCACCGAATGGCTGAGGTTGGAAGAGGGCTCTGGAGGTCACATTGTCCAACCCCCCTGCTCAAAGTGGCATCAACTACAGCAGATTGCTCAGGGTCGCATCCAGTTGAGTTTTGAATATCTCCAAGGATGGAGGCACCAGAACCTCTCTGGGTAACCTGCTCCAGTGTTTGACTAGCTACACAGTGAAAAAGTATTTTCTTACATTTAAATGGGATATCCCATGTTTCAGGCTGTGCCCATTGTCTCTTGCCCTGTCACTGGGCACCACTGAGCAGTCCGTCTCCTTAACTCCTCCCATCAGGTATTTATATGCATGGATAAGATCCCCCTGAGCTTTCTCTTCTCCAGGCTGAGCAGTCCCAGCTCTCTCAGCCTCTCCATTTTGCAGCAGGTGTTTTGACAGCTACTGGAAAGGCAGCACCGGTGAAGCTGTGATGGAGGCATCAGTGCTGAATGACATTCTTCGAGGGGCCAAAAGAGTTTTGGTGTGGGCTGGGCCAATGGCTGCAAAAGTCCCTCTCCCTGGGCATAAGACAGCCAGGAGAGGTATGGACACAGCCAGTGCTCAGATCAGCCCTAGACAAAATTAATATGCAAAAAATGAAAGGCAAAAATTCTTTTAAAAGCAAAGTTTTGTTCTTTAGCAAACGTGCAGAAAATACGACACAAGAGACCTGGAGGCAGGGAGTGCTCTCCGACTGCAGCCAAACTCAGGGAATTCAGGCAAAGGGTCTCGAAGTCAGGGGTTTACTTCATACAGATCTACACTTTTGCGCACACGCTTCAGCAGCAGCAATGCGTGGGTGGTCAGGATGCTCCCGTACTCCCTTTGCTCCTCCCGCTTCCCCTGCAGTGCTCCCCTCCCCGACCACACAGACCATGGCAGGGTGCCTTCGGGCAGCTGGCGAGACCCCAAAGCACAAGACCTGGCCAGCCACGGTGAGCGCTCCCAAAAACATTGCAATTTGGACCAGATGCACAAGACCCTCATCTTCTTGCTCAAAAAGCTGTGGCTGGCTGCACTCGATTTCTCCTCCCCTGCTTTTTGGATACCAGCTCTCTGAAAGTTTGCCAGCGTTGTCCAGGCTTCCCGAGGATGCTGCTGAATCGCTGGCGGCTCCCGGGCTATTAAAGCGACATTAGGAAAAACTGCCGCCCCACGGTTTTCCTTTCAGAGCAGGCGGGGACCCTGAAAAGGCACATCCAACCTCCAGCGGAGAGGAAGAAAGTGCTAGGAGAAAACCGAAGCATCTCCTGCCCCGTGTCGGGAGGGGTTGCTGCCTGCTTGGGTCGGTGGAGGGGGTAATTAGAAGTACCTGCTGCCTTCAATGTGTCACGGCTGTCAACCACGGCGACTGCCTCCTGTCACCACGGCAACAGCCTGCAGCCAGGTTTATCATCTTTCTTTCGGTGATGCCTCCCCCTCCCCGCATCCTTCACCCCCTCCTTTTCCCTGTGCCTGAGCCTGTAATTAATTTCAGCTGCTGACAAAGCCGGTCTTCACAATCTGCATCATTCAGTCACAAGTTTCATTACTAATTAACTTCTTTTGAAGTTCAAATTTCCTAATTACAAGCGAACCCGCACACATGCTATCCCTCTCTGCCCCTGCCCTTCCTCGCCGCTGCTCTTCCTTCCCACGGCACCACTTCCGACACCTTTCCCAGCGAGACCTGGGGCCTCCGACAGGTTTTGGAAACTAAGAGGAGACCCAGGCATTTTTGCCCATGGTCAGCTCCTCTCTTTTAGCCACCACAAGATGCTTCAGAGAAAGGCACCAGAAAACCCACAGCAATCCACTATGTAATAACCTGCCCTGAAAGGGAGGTTTTTCCCTAACTGGGACAGTTCACAGTTGATTCAAGCCCTCAGGGATAAAGGGGTCGTGGCGCTCATCTGAAAAAGGAGAAACAGCAAGGGAGAAAGATTTCCTGACTCCTTTAACCATGGGCTATTCTCATTATACGCATAACTGTCTCCTCCTTATAAAAGTCCTGTTAAGCTCTTGGCTTCAGCACTGTCTTGTGGCATCAGGATCCATATCTAGGTTGATTATGTTTTGCCTAAAACACATTTCCTTGTACTGGTTCTATAGCTAGTGCCTGTCTGTGGCAGCGACACTTTGCTTTGTTGTGTCATCCCTCCTTGTCCTTCCACACCCCAACCAGGGTCCATCCAGCTGCTGCCTGAAGGCAGCCACCACATATCTATTGACCCTCCACCATGTCTTCCAATGGACAGGGACAGTCACTAGCAGTGTTCCCCAGGGCTCAGT